CCACCCTAGATTTTATCAAATAATAAAGATCTATTCACACTAAATCATAGAAATGAAAATATCTAGGAAAATCTTTGTTTGAGGGGTAGGCCGGCAACTTTAATAGTATTTGGAAGTGACATGAATTTCCCATTGAATATCGGAATAATATTCTGGGTGATTCAATTAAACTAAAGGAGTTATACAGGGTGGGTAATAAAGGAGTTATACAGGTTATACCAATGTTCAGCATTAATTTTGCCCCACCCTGTATAACTTTATGGGTCAGGGTTTAATTTGATTTAAAGTGCAATAGAGTAAATTCCAATTTAGGTAGTTTTTCTTGAAATTTAAAAATTGTTCTTCAAAATCTTAAGTAAGTCTAAAACCTTACATTTCAGTCATATACTTCCCTAATAAAATACACCTTTATTTTTCTCTTAGAATCTAAAAATTAATTAATAAAGGGGGTATTCCGTTACAAAAAAACACAAATTTGATGTGTAACTTTTTTTGGGGACACCCTGTAGAACGCTCTATATTTTTAAAACGTGCGCAGAATTAACTTACATATGCTCACAAAATTTCATTTTAATACGAACTGGTCGTTCTCCTTGGAGCCTCCGAGTCGTATGAGAGGCGCCACCCTGTATAATTTTTATATAGTTGCACTTTAATAAATTGTTAGTTAAAACTAACAGTCCTACGAGTGTGGAATTTTGTACAGGTGGATTTTGGACATTTATCTCCTAAGAGAGTGAAATAAGGGATGAAAATTTGTACAAACATTTGTTAAAATCGGGTTTAGAAGTATGAAATTCTGTTTGTTCCTTATGTAACGTAATTTACCAATAACAAGCAATTTTTTTTCAGAACGTCCACCCTCATTTCACCCCGTTAGAGGGCGAATTTCCAAAAATTGTTCCTGAGTGCTAAATTACGTTACATAAGGAACGTCTGCGCAAAATTTCATACTTCCAAAACCGATTTTAATGAATTTTTGTACAAATTTTCATCCCTTAATTCTTATGGGGCGAATGCCTAAAATTCGCTTCTGAGTACTCACTTTCATCACTTGAGGAACCTCTGTGCAAATTTTCATACTTCTAGGACAGATTTTTTTCAGAAAGTTCACCCCTCATTTCACCCCCTTAGAGGGAAAATTTCGAAAAATTGCTTCTTAGTGCTAAATTACCTTATATAAGGAACGTCTGCGAACAATTTTATACTTCTAAAACCGATTTTAACAAATTTTTGTACATATTTTCATCCCTTATTTCTTAAGGGATGAATGCCCAAATTCGCTTCTGAGTATAACTTTCATCACTTGATGAACCTCTGTGCAAATTTTCATACTTCTAGGACAGATTTTTTTCAGAACGTTCACCCTTCATTTCACCCCCTTAGAGGCAAAATTTCCTAAAATTGCCTCTTAGTGCTAAATTAACCTACATAAGGAACGTCTACGCAGAATTCATACTTCTAAAACCGATTTTATCAAATTTTTATACCAATTTTCATCCCTTATTTCTTAGGGGATGAATGTCCAAAATTTGCTTCTGAGTACTCACTTTCGTCACTTAATTAACAATTTCCAAATTTCAAACTCCTCGGACTAATTTTAAAAAAGTATGCAAAATTTCACCCCCAGTTTCACCCCTTAGTAGAAGAATTTCCTAAAATCGCTTTGTATAATCGAACTGTTAAGTTACGCTACTTAAGGCACCTCTGTGCAAAATTTCGTAGTCCTAGGACATGCTTTTTTTTGTATACAAAAGTACCCCCCATATCACCCCCTTAACGAGCGAATTTCCAAAAATTGCCCCTTAGTGTTCAATTACGTCAGTCAAGGAGCACTCGTGAAAAATTTCATACTCTTAAACCAGATTTTAACAAATTTTTATGCAGCTTTTCATCCCTAATTTCACCCCCTTAGCGGTCGAATTTTCAAAAAATCCCTTCTTAGTGCTCATTTACATCACTTAAGGAACCTATGTGCCAAATTTTATTTATTACTATATAGATAACCTTTACCCTTATTTTCAGCTAATGAATATTAAGAGACAAATAATAAAAATAAAATCTAAATTATAAATTTCATGGCTATAAATAGCATATATATGCATCTAGAAATTCTGACTTTCAAACATCCACTGCGACTAGTATTTTCATATCCAATTGTCTAGTATTAAATAGTGCTGTACGGATCCGAGTTTTTAAACGGATCGGGGATCCTTTAAAAAAATCCGGATCCGGATTTATCCGTATCCGGATTTGAATATGCGATTCGGATCTGAGATTCGGATCTTAAAATTGCATCTGAAATCCGAATCTCAAATTCGGATCCCATACCCCGGTTATGGTAATTTCGAGGGTAATTTATAAATTATGCACTGAAAAAAGATCTCTCAGTCGAAATGAATATGACTTTGACCCAAAAGATTGGCGCTTTCAATAGGGCCAAGAACGACGTTTCTTTGCCCAAAGCATTAACTATCTTTTCATAAGCTTTAAAAAATTACTTTAGAGAATAGAATAATCTATCTGTCAAAAGCATTTCACTCTTGACCCAAAATGAATATGCAAAGAAGTTCTTGCTACAAGAACAATAGTCTCTTTGATTCATGCAAAAATTCTTGAATGAAAAGGGACATTTCTTGATTAAAGAGACACTTTTCTTAAACCAATAGCGAGTAATATTGACTCAACTAAAATTTATTTTGATCTAAGAGAAGTCTATACATCATATACAGGCATATTACAAGGTATATTATTTTCTGATAAATTTAGGTTATCCTGGTATTTACTTACTACAGAGTAGTAAGTAAAGTGATATTATTTTTCTCGATAGTAGTTATTTCTGCTTCTTCACTCCTTGGTATTTTTTGGGGTGGTTCATCACTCTACAAATTACAAAAAAAATGTTACATCAGGATTAATAGAAGTAAAGCAAATAAATTATTAAAATTATAAGTTTTGGTAACATTTTGAATTTTTTAATACGACGACTTGAAATTCTAAAATTTTTGTAATTATTTGCATAACAAAATTGATACCTATATTCTTATTCTATCTATAGTCACGCATGCATTATCTAAACAGGTGCATTATGTAAATGTCTCTTACCTTCAAATATAGCAAATAAATGCTCTAATTTCCATTTTTTGAGAAACTCCTTTAAAGAATCCATATATCCTAAAATTTGTCCATAAAAATGACAAATGCATGTTAATAACGATCACTAATTGTTATACGATATGCGTTTAAAAAGCAAATTATGCTAAATTCCAAGTGGAAAATTCCAAGCAACAAAACGCGTGCGTACTATGATGTGCGACCTATGAAATGCGACGTACGACTGATCGGACTGCCGATTGATTGTATACCGTCCTTCGTCATCGTCTTTGCGTGTCGTTATTATTTTTCATCAAAAGAGTATTTAGCTATTGGAAAAATGGCCATGTTTCTTGAATGAAGTACATCCTAGCGTATTTTTCTTATTATCTTAAAACAAAGTAACTTACACTTGGTTGAATGAAAATAGATTCAAGAGCAATTTTCGAATTTTTCAAGAGAAGAAGTTTTCTTGAGTTAAGAGAGTTTTTCTTCAGGCAAAATATTTTCATCTACGCTAAAATAAATTCTCTTGCCACTAAATTTTTTTTTTCAAGAACGATGACGACTTTAGTTCAAGTCTATCTTTTTCATCAGTGTGGGCATAAAAAAGTAGTTTAATTTGCAGCACAAGATATTTAATTTTCAAACAAAACAAAAAAATACAACCAAGTATGCGGATGGGGCATGCGCATGTTATGCATGGAACGACGACTGGCAACAGTGGCAACAGTGAATACGAATACGACGATCTTGGATCCAGATCCTAAATCCGGACTTAAACCCGGATCTTAAATCGGGGCCTTAAATCCGGATCTTAAATCCGAATATTTATACCCGGATCGATCCGGTTCCGGATTGTACACTTTAAAAAATCCGGATCAGATCCGGATCTGATCCGGATTGAAAAAGGATCCGGATCTGATGTACAGCACTAGTATTAAAGTCCGAATATACATTTTCCCTGGGTTTGACCGGGAATTTGCTTATAAATGTGAACAACCGGCTACGTCGCTTCACATCGCGTGGCCGTGGTGTGGCTCCAAATTCGTTCGTTTTAAAAATATTATTAGATTTGGCTATAGGCGCCCTCTGTGTCATTAATAGGGAACTGTCTGATCGAAAACATGCTGTTCCGTAAGCAATGGCCATCTGGATTATATGTTATCTGTGGTTACAGCTAAGTCGGCCTGACGATGGAGATAAATCTCCGAAATCGGTCGTCGAATGGCTGTTAGTTCCCTTCAGTCTGATGAAGTTAATGCAGAGAATAATCATATATGTAAGGTTTTTTTGGCCTCTTTTTCTGCTTCTTGTATTTTGTTTGTAAAAACTATTTGTTACACATAAAAAACTATTTTTTACGCTTAAAAAATAATTTATTAACTTTTTCAACGTTTCAAACTACACTTTTTACGGTAATGGCTTAGAAGTATGTGGTGGCGCGACGTGTATTTGTGAGCAGTCTATATGTTTATCAGAAATAGTGATCTTTTAGTACAAATTTTGTGAAAGTGAATCAAATTATTACGTGTAAAAAACTATGTTACATGTAAAAAACTATTTTTTTATTTTGCGTGTATAAAACGATTTGCGACACGTAAAGAACTATTTTTTACGCATAAAAACATTTTTTTACGCTTATAAAACTATTTGTTACAAGTAAAAAACTATTTTTTACACGCAAAAAGCAATTTTTTACGTGTTAAAACTATTTTTTCCATGTAAAAACTATTTGTCACACGTAAAAAACTATTTTTACGCGTATTTTTTTTAATTCGTTAACTTTTTCAACTTTTCAAACTACACTTTTTCAAACATGTCCTTCAAATCCTTCAATTTAATAGCTGTTAGTAAGAAGTACCACTTCAAATATGCGTACATTGTGTTCAAACAATTTTTTTTAGGTGAAAGGCCGTTTTCTTGTGAAATTTGTGGGAAATCGTTTAGTTGCAACGGTACACTTTTGAGGCACCGAAAAGACAGTCACGGTGAAAAACAACCGTGTCCCAAATGTGGGAAAATGTACACCGAAGGCGAGTTGAGAAAGCATTTGAAAAGACACAAAATTCGCGAAGAAGGGATCAAGAGAAAAAAATTCACTTGTGAATACTGTGGAACTGAAATGAATTTTACTTCTAGAAAAAGGCATTTGTTGAAACAGCATGGAATAATGCTTAGAGGTGACGAATTTTCAAGTTATTTTTTTATATTTGATTTTTATTATTGCAGGAAGAGGAGAAACCGCAGAAAGAGTTCCAGTGAATCGCCCCAATGCCATGTAGAGAGTTTCAAGTCTGAATTTATATTTTTTCGGTAGTTTTAAGAAGCTTAAAAATCTCAATACGTACTCAGTATTGCCATTAGTGAATTTGGTTACTTAAATTTACATTTAAGTTTTATTTAATGTGCATTTACATTTTTATTTACAATTTATTTATTCAAATTTACTTTTATCACAATGGACTGTGCTTTTATAGTCTTTGGTGCTTTTTATACATAAAATTTTCATTAAAATTCACTGTATTTGTGTATTCAGAATTTTATTTCAATTACACAAACAAGAAATTGAATCCCGTTCCTTCGTGTACAAGTAGCCGGATATATAAATTCTTCAGTAAAATTATAAGATGTATAACAGGCCGGAAGGTCCTAGTAGCTTAGGCCTTTAAAAAAATAGAAGATGCATATCCTGAAGATAGTTACGTTGCTAACTTCACTGACTGTTCTGTGGCGATTTAAATGAACCAATAAAATTAAAAGAAGATGCAAGTGGCCATAAATAGCAAAAAAAAAAAAAGAAGCATACTCTGAAATTAGGTATGTTGCTAACTTCACTAAACCAAAATTATTCTGTGGTAATTATTTAATAAAAATAGTTTAGTTTATAAAAAGTGATTTTTAATAATGTTTTAATATAAACGTAGCTTATTAATACTGACAATGGCTAGCACAAAGTTTCAGCAAGCTTTAAATTTTTCAGCAGAAGGAGAAAGAAACGACGAACCAACGACGCCAGCTTTAAGGGGTTCGAAGTTTAACGAAATAGTTACAACAAACGCAGAATCGAGCCTGCAAGAACTCCACCAGAATCGATTAAAAACGTTAAGGAAGGAATTGAATTTTTTGAAAGAGACTGCTTGGAAATATGAGCCTATCGAAAAATATATTGGACAAAGTGGAACAAAGTTTTGAACATTTTTTAATTCATGTTAAATATTAATAAAATAAGAAAAAATCTACCGTTGTTTTCCTTGACGAGATTCAGTAATATCCAGAATTCTTAGACCTTTTTTTGAGAAGGAATTTGTAATTTTAAAAAAAAATTTAATCAAAACTATGGATCAAAACAAAACAAAACTTGTGCTGTCAAAATATTTGTTGTCAATTTTCTTTTTTCTTTTTGTTGTCATACGTATATGAGAAAATGCAGAGAAAATGTCATATAAATATATAAAATATATTAATCAATAAGGGATCTATGCATGTAGCTGAAGGCCTCTAAACTCTAAACCAACTCTAAACTAAAAAGAAGAGGAAATGTCAAAAATCTCTTAATTTGAGGCAGTTTGAGGTTAACAGCCGAGGAACGTTGTGTTTGTTTAATTTGTATAATTTTTCATTTAACAAATTGATATAAACATGGCAAAGTTTGATTTAACAGCTCAAATAGGGCAGTACCTAGATCGACATTTGGTTTTTCCCTTGTTAGAATTCCTCTCCGGCAGGCAGGTATGTATTAATGGTTTTTGAGGTTATAACATATTCATCTAAAAAACTTCCCTATTTCCAGATTTACGATGAAACGGATTTGCTTAAAGCCAAAATGGACATTCTCAGTAAAACTAACATGATCGATTACATTATCGATATAAGAAAACAATTGTATTCAACTTCCGAGGTCCCGGAGGACTTAAGACAGAGAAGATCCCATGTAGTGTCTCAGTTACAAGTTTTACAGCAGAAAGTAGAGCCTATTTTACAAATTATGGCTAACGATGAAGTGATGAAGGGCATGGAAAATATGCGCGATTCCAAAACTCTTATTGCGTATTTGGAAAAGGAATTTAAGGTAGGATTGTGAAATAACTTATACAATCAATGATTAAATTGTTTTTTTTTCGTTTTAGTTTGATCTTGAAATGATTAACTCACTTTATACTTTAGGAAAATACCGTTATGAGTGTGGTAACTATTCAGTATCCACTTCATATTTATATTTCTGCATGTTAGTGCTTCCTCAAAACGATAAAAACTACTTGAACGCTTTGTGGGGTAAATTTGCATCGGAAATTCTTGTCCAGAACTGGGACTCTGCATTAGAAGACTTGAATAAACTGAGAGAGTATATTGATAATACTCCAAATCTATTTGGAGGCAACAGTTTAAAGCTTCTTCAACAAAGAACTTGGTTGATTCACTGGTCACTGTTTGTCTTTTTCAATCATGCCATGGGAAGGGAATTGATTATCGAGACTTTTTTGTATAGGCCTCATTACCTGAATGCCATTCAGACTATGTGCCCTCATATTTTGAGGTATTTGGCCACAGCTGTAATTATTAATCGAGGAAGAAGGTACCAAGGTTATTGTAGTATTGTAAAGTGACTTCTTAACATTATACATTTTTAGATCAGCTTTAAAGGACTTGGTAAAGGTAATTCAGCAGGAAAGTTACACATACAGGGATCCTATCACTGAGTTTCTGGAACATCTTTATGTAAACTTTGATTTCGATGGTGCAAGACAAAAATTACATGAATGCCAGACAGGTACATTGTATATATTTTTAGAAAATTTGAGGTTATGTAATAATAAACTTTTTAGTGCTTTTTAATGACTTCTTCCTTGTCTCCTGCCACGAGGAGTTTGTTGAAAATGCTCGGTTAATGATTTTCGAGACTTTCTGCAGAATCCACCAATGCATCAGCATAGGAATGTTAGCAGAAAAACTTAACATGAACCCCGATGAAGCTGAATGTTGGATTGTGAATCTAATTCGAAATGCTAGGTAATTTTTTTATTAAAATAAGTTGAATTATATCTTCATACAATGCCATACTCTGTACAGAGCTTTGGCTGCCTCTTGCATGTAATTGTAACTTGTGATGTCAGAATGAACATCAGTGTTTCACAACTATATGAAAATTATATATGAGACAACAAGTTGCAAAACCCACCAAATCCGTTTTTTTTAAATGGTCTAATGACATTATATCAATAGTGGACCCTGAGATCTACGTAAACATAGTCCCAAACTGCAGCAAAAGTTGCATATTCCTATAATTCATTACAAATTATGTTAGTGCAACAAAATCCATCTTATCCACTTATATTTTTTTTTAATTGCCATTATTATTGCAAATCCCACATTTTTTCATAGGGTTTTTACACAAGTATAATATTACTACTGACCACTTTTCCATTTCAAATCTTTACCTAATCTTAGTAAAATAGCAGACATAATAATTCTTACGATATACATCATACTGCAACAAAACCTGCCTGACTTATTTTGTTTTTTTGTCTTTAAAAGTTAAGTATTAATTTTTATTTCTAGAAAAACAAAATACAAAACGATTCCACTCAATGAACACTTTTATTTGTAAAATAATGCTTCAAACATTAGGTAAAACAGTTTTTGCATATTATCTTGAAACAATGTTTTTGGGATAAGACAGGTTTTGCAACTTGACACCTCATACCTCATATGAATTAATAATTTTCTTTATTCTGTATTTTACAGGTTAGATGCAAAAATTGACTCTAAGCTGGGTCATGTCGTTATGGGGGCCCAACCTTTGAGCCCCTATCAACAGTTGATTGAGAAAATTGATTCGTTATCTGTAAGATCAGAAGCTTTGTGCGGTTTAATTGATAGAAAAGTGAAAGCAAGGACAGATGTAAGCTCCTACTAGCTGTTCTACCACAAATAAACCTCTGATTTCTTTTTTAAGATTCGTTGGGGGAATCAAGAGTTTTGATTCATTATTTACTAATTTCTAATAACTGTTTATACTTAAATTAACAGAGAATAAAAAAAATCATGTCAAAGTTTGCTGCTGTTTTATTTACATAACACATATAAGTAATAAAAAATAATTATAACTTAGATTTCTATAAAAACTTACATACAGTAAACAAAATTAATGTTATTCGTCACCTCGTAACGCTCTGTATTTACTTAGTTCTGTAGGAAAGGTTCGACTTAGTTCCAGCAACATATTTGCCTTAAATTTTCTGTAAGCATCAATTTTTCCTTTAACTTGCTCGTTCTTAGCCAACGCTTTTTCAATACAGTCTTTTGTGTAAAGTTGTGGATTACGTCCCTGATCAATATAACTAAAATAATTACATTAAATATGAAACAGTTTTTATAATATAGAAACTCACTCAAAGACTTCTAAAGGAACATGAACGTCTTGTACTTGAGACTTGAGTTTATCCACTTCTTGTAAACCGTGTACCATAGCTTGCCTTCAAAGAAATATGTTAGAAATTAATGTTCATATTTACAAAAAGAACTTACAATTTTTGGTTCAAAACATTCTGGCTTTGAGGCTGAAAATCGCTGACAATTATGTGAATCTGTCGAACATTTTCAATAAACATTTCAAGTTGTGTTTCTAAATTTTCCAACGGAGACGTCATTATAAATTCTCTTTTATGTTTATTAAAAATCTATTAATTTTATGGAAGTTGTTTAAATATGTTGAAGAGATAAACAAAATGGAGGTTACACAGGTGAAGTTAGTTACTTTTTGCTTCTTTTTATTTTTTTATGACCTTGGTTTTCTCATGAAGTTAGACTTAAAAACAAGATGTTGGCAGATTATCCGAACACATGTGCTCATAGTTGCGCAAAAAAGAGGAAAATCATATATAATTTTATATATGATACACTAATTTATTTTTTTGTAGTCATATATAAACAAAAAACAAATCAAGATATTTGTTTATAATTTTAATAGGGCTGATTTAAAAAAATCGATAACGGTCAAGAAAGCTAATAAGTGAAAAGTCAATGAAAATATAGCTTAATTTTAAATTTTCTTTATTAATGCGGTAACAAAACATCCATACAAATTAAATAAAAAAATTAGGTCTAATTCTTAACTATAATAAAATAAATGTCAAGTAACGTTAGCAGGCCTTCGTCTTAGTATAAGTTTACCAGTATCATCGCAAGACATATTAAAGTCTCTCAGCACCTCTCTTGTCCGAGAAGTGATTATGGAACCAGCTATTACCCTCTTGTGTACGCCCAGTAACAAAATAATTACTAAAAACACTGACAAAATAACGAATATCAATAATCAATTCGAACTTACTTAGGATTACTGTTGATAAAATAAAAAATGGATGATTTGACAATGATTGCGATAGGGAAACTACTCGAGTTTCGGGGTCAAAAATCCATTGACTAGCTCCTGTTGCCACGCATAATGATACTACAGCTAAAACTACTGCAAAAGACATGAATTAATCTTCGAATTGAATTTGCGAAGACATAAGTTATAATTTTGATCATATTTTGATTTATGATGGCAATTAGTACTTAAATATCATCAAATTAAATTATTTACTTCTCCAGCGAGTCGTTGAAGGGTGCAAACATGCTATCACTTCGGTCAATCTCCTTTCGAAAGCCTTCAAATCTACAAGAATATCTATTTTATAGGTTATGAAATTTTGTATCTATTTTTTTCTATGCGATACCTTCGCACGCCGTTTGTTCCAGAGACATTTTAAAATCTGTTCTTGCACATTTCTTCTAAAATAATACTAATATAAAACCAGTATAAATCTAAAACAAATACAGAAATTTATCAATGTTTTTCTAAAGCAACTCAGAACTGGGTAGGTTGTAGGAAGATAACATAACCCACAACCCGCAACCATAGACTAATGTCATTTACTAGAGACGCCCACAACCCACAAAGCACGATGACAATGATATGATCACAGAACAGACACAGAATATGAAAACTTGGCTAAAACACCCCGCCTTTATTTAAAAATTATTAGATATATTAGATATTATTAAAAAAAAATTCTCTAAACTTATGGTATTGAATACCAGCTTTAGCAAGCTTAGTTTTTTTTATCTTAAAATCTGAGAGCCAAAATTCGCTAATGCAGAATATGTGTATAGATTTCACACTCTTGCCATGGAACAACAGCACGACAGAGTTTTCAGAGGGCCACCCGTCCATCCAGTCGTATCGTCTACCGTCTCTTAACTTCGGTATTATCTCGGATTGGCGAGTGTTTCAAAATGTATCCTTATTAATATTTTATTTCTGCTTCCATTTAACTCTTTTTTAATGGCGTTAATGCATACTAGAAAGAAATTTCTGGATAACTGATATTGAAAAAGAGGGCACCATGTGTCATGAAACCTTCAGAACAGCAGAAAATTTAACACATTGTTAAATTGATGGGTGATATAAAAACCCTAGTCAGCGATAGGCAGGATTAGACACTGAAATACAATTAATTGGCCTGTAGCTGAGCGCTAACTAGACCCCTGAGCTAATGGAAAGCAAACAGAGACAGAACGGGATCGATTAAGGATAGGATTTGTTTCCGTCAACAGGAAACAACGGAAATTATTTAATCAGAGCGACAGAAACATGCGAACATAATAAAATGTAATGTGTGTAAATCAGAGAATATACCATATACGTACTATAATATGTATATGGAATATACTGTAAAGTTTATAGTTTATAGATCGGCGATATAGATACATAATATCCACACAATTATTAAATTATAATTTGAAATGCATGTCTACAGGGTGTTATGCATTATGCAAAAATATGCATTTTAGTTTATTAAAACATTATCGACATGTTTTATAGCTGTTTTTACGATTGATTTATAAAACAATTTGGTCTTCGCAATAATTTAGTCGCGACCGCTACTCTAAGAAAACAATTTTATAATTGCTGTTAAAGAAACGAATTAAAATTCTTATAAAGCGCGATTAAAAAACAAAAGTTGTAATCGGGAGATTAATATACTTAACAGAAATTGATATTTAAAATATAATTCTAACCAGGTAACTAGCTTGACAAACAATGTCTTATTCTCTCCGGGCGAAATCAACAATCTTTGACATTCAACTGTTTCCAAAACCTACTACTCCGCTACTCGCCAACATCAGCGGACACGGGGTGCAGGCACGGCGTGAAAATGACTGCCTATCATAAGGATCATAGGCGTCGATAACATTCGGCCATTCCTGACTTATGAGTGTCCTCACTCCTCTGAATCATAAGGACTACTAATCATAAGGACCACTAAAAAGGACATAAATAATCAGAACCTTTTAAATGGCATTTTTAAATGCTGAAATAAAAATATTTATTAGTTTTTATGCTGCTGAGCCATATCTTTATCAGCTAATTGCTACCATTGTTACATCACACTAAAAGGACAAAAATAATCAGAATCGTTTAAAGGACATTTTTAAAAGCTGAAATAAAATATTTAGATTGTTTGCTGCTGATACTGGACAATTGATACAAAACCAATTGACAAAACTTTATCAGCTAATTGTTACTATTGTTACATCACTCTAAAAGGAGAAACATAATCAGAACCGTTTAAAGGACATTTTTAAAAGCTGAAATAAAAATATAGTAGATTGTTCACTGCTCATACTGGAGCTACGTCTTATTTTCTACCTGAATAAATAAAAATAAAATATCGTAACTCACCCAGAAACAATACTCAAAAACTCATGATGGACAAATAAATTATTCAGGGACTCCAAAAAAATTCGTAATATATCTAGAAATTCATTTACCCGCTAGTAGTTATAAAAAGCATTTTTGGTAAACTCTGTCTCTAATAGTTTCTGAAAAATAAAATTAATTTTTTTAAAAATGTCCGATTAAGTAACTCACCCAGAAACAATACTCAAAAACTCATGATGGACAAATAAATTATTCAGGGACTCAAGAAAATTTCAAAAGGTAAAATAAACGAATTACTTATTATATATTGGTGTTACACGCAATCTGCAGCTTGCGTGCAACAAAATAATGTTAAATCTCAACTCTAAAATCTTAAATCTAAAATCTAAATCTAACTATGGGCTCACGCCTATTCCGGCCACTGGAAAAGAGAGCAATCCGGGTCGAACTAACCAGACCGAATACCGGGACTCATCCCTATTCGCAAGTCTTGTCCGCCCTACTCACAAAGCGCCGAGGTGGTAAACTCATACCTTAGCAACCACCACACGCCTTTTCCAGCTATCATACTAACGTATACCTTGAAAAAGAGAGTACCGGGTAGAACTAACCCTACTCCTTTTTCCTATCCTAATACACGTTTGAATCTACCATAACCAAATCCATAGCTTGCCAAACCTAGCTATTCCACAGTACTTGTTCTGTGACCTTGCATGCCATTCTAGGATGTTTCTAACTTCATATCATCCAATCCTCAGCTGCTTAGAAATTCAAATGAACATGTCTACCTTGGAGATTGATTGGATCCTATTAGCTGTGTCGAAGTGATCCTTAGTAGATCTAACGCTGAATATAGTTCGCTACGCATCTAATTTTTCTTTTATTCCGCTGGATATTTCGCATAATTCGCCACTCATTTACGCCGACTTTATCATTTACGCCCGGAGGGATAAACGCAACTTGTCCAGATACGCTCATTTTGCTCCTAGTGCTTAGATTCCACACAATCCAAACTGAATGTTTGAAACATTTTCAACCTAGATATCGTAATGCAATTTGTTACACATACTAGAGATTATGCCTCTCTACTTGTCCAATTCCACGTGGATGTCAAACAGTATTCAGGTAGTGAGATTTGGCTAGTTTATATTGAAAGTATTCGTTTTTTAGGTAAAAGGGTATCCATAAATGATTACTTTATTCGGGGTTGTAAAACTCATATATTAACGTCGCATAAAGATTTAAGTACATACCTAGGTAACTTAGTTTATGTATTTTAAATTAAAATAATATAGTACCGCTAAAATGTTGCTAATATTTCTATTGCCGACAGAATATAGTATTTCCGACAATATTTATTTTATGTCGTGCTTTAGTAGTTTGTTTTCAAAATATCTACAGCGTGTTGTGAAATCTACTATATAATAGTACTCTGGCACCTAGAATTTTACCCATCTGGACATTTACATTTATTTCTAATTACAAGAAATTACACTTTTATTAAAAATTAGCCCTGTATACCTACTTTAATAAACGCATCGTTCTCATCTTCTAACAATTTTACACAACTATTTTAACATTCACAATGTGTCAATATATTACAACACTACTCGAAGGGTTATTTGCGATTAAATATGGCGTACCTATACGAAGAATAAAGTTCTTGAAATACTAGTGAAATACCTGAATTAAACTGAAAAACTCTGAAATATAATGAGGTGATTAAAATTATATTATAATAATTGAAAAACTAATGTAATAGGTACTTATAAATTACCTATGTGAATTTTTGATATAATTCTCAAGTGAATTTGCAAAGCCTGAAGTTCGGAACCTATTTAACTTTTCTGCAACCATGTATTTATTCAACTACATACCTAAATAGGTACAAAACAAAATAACTTTCTTAAAGACTACGTTAAAAACAGCTTCTTAAAATGAATTTTCAAATATTAGATCGAAAATGCGTGTATACTAGAAAGATTATGAGGTGTCTATAATAAATTAATATTATGCCTTAATAAACGTTTGATTTCATAAATGTTCAACTTTAAATTTTACATATCTATTATTTCTCCCTTGTATTCACCAAAGATAATTACCAAGTACATTCATGTCTCATGTTTCATGTAATACCTAGTATATTACTGATAGAGCAATACCTACTTGACTACCTAAAATTGAAAGTTTCAGTAAAAAGTGAGAAAAATTAAAAATATAGCTGAAATATTAATGACATCTATAACTAAACTTATAGTAGTAAAGTAAGTAATAGGTAAAATGGGGGTGTTACGGGCGAGAATTAAGGGGCTCAGTTCATTAGGGTGAGTTAATGTATCAGGACTGTGGGCACTCACCTTTATTCCCGTTCTGGACTCGTACTTGTTGTTTTGCTTATAAAACACTTGAGGATAGCGCGCGCTTGGAGGTGTACACTGTGTACTCGGCCGATCTTGTCACTCTGCGTATTCGACTACGGCTACGTACCCACTAAGGTTTTTCGGGTAAAGGATGGAAGGAAGGGATAGAATCCAACATACCGCCCACCAAAATGAAATATTTTCCATTTTCGTTTGAGAATAGTAAAGTAAAATAAAAAAAAAGTGAAAAAATGCTTAAAAGAAAGTAAGAGTGAAATTTATGAAGTTAAATTTAGAGGAAATTTAGAAAAATGCATTATTGGGGTTAATGCATGAGTGTAATTTAATTAAATATTAAGAGAGTTTACATTTGTTATAGAGTATAGAAAAGTAATTAAATAAGAGATGTTAATTATGTTTATAATGAGATTATGTTTTTTTTGCGATTATGTTTTTTGCGATTATTGTTTTTTTAGAGAGTAAATTTTAATTATGAGATTTGCAGTACGGCAGTGGGCATATCTTTGTCACTGGTCTTTTAAGAATGCCTTTTGCTGTTTTTAAAGTAACCACGCGTGTAACACGATCATGGCCCGGGTGAATCTCTAAGACTCTTCCAATGCTCCATTTGAGCGGAATAAGATTATCATCCTTTATTAAAACAACCGAGTTTATTTCTATTGGAATAGTAGAGTCATTCCATTTAGCTCTTTGTAAAAGTGTTTGAAGGTATTCTTTAGACCATCGGCTCCAAAAGCTTTGGTGCAAGCGTGATATCAACTGCCAGCGAGAGAGATGATTTAATTTTATCCCGGAAAGATCATCTTAAAAAATGTCCTGGAGTAAGAACTGACAAATCATTAGGATCAGAGCTTTGTGGACACAATGGACGAGAATTAAGCACTGCTTCTATTTGAACCAGTAGCGTATAAAATTCCTCATACGTGAGCAATTGGTCACCAATGACCCTTTTAATGTGAGTTTTTACAGACTTTATTCTTGCTTCCCACAGGCCACCAAAATGAGGCGCGCTTGGAGGATTGAAGTGCCAGGAAATTTGTTCTTGCTCAGCGGCGGATTTTAGCATATTAATCAGTTCTCTAGAAGCTCCGACAAAGTTCGTTCCACAATCGGAATAAATATGATTGCAGCGACCTCTACGAGAAATGAATCGACGCATTGCACCCAGAAAAGTCTCGGAGGAAAGGTCGGAAACCAGTTCTAAGTGCAAAGCTTTGTGGCCATGCACACAAATAAGCAAATATAGGCTTTACAGGACTTAGCACCTCGTGCACGATATCTTAATAAAGAGAATGGACCACCATAGTCGCATCCAACTTCAGAGAAAGGTTTTACTTGAGAAAGTCTTACAGCAGGAATATCTCCCATAATAGGAGGCTGAGGCATTACTGGATTAGCGCGAAAGCATTGAGGACATTTAAAGAGAACACTACGAATTGTTTTTCTAGCAGAAACAATCCAGTATTGTTGAGCGAGAATATAGTGAAGAGTTTGGGGACCGGGATGCAAATAGAGTTTATGAGTATATTCTATGAGTAGAGTAGTAAATTTATGATTATTGGGTAAGAGTGCGGGATGTTTTTGAGAGAAATTTAGAGAAGCATTGCGCAAGCGACCACCAACTCTAAGAATTCCATTGGTGTCGATAAAGGGGGTCAATTTTCTTAAGTATTTAGGTAGAGATTTGCAATTATTTATTAAGAGAATTTCCCTAGCATAATATTGTGATTGAACACATTTAATAATACATTCTAGAGTTTCATTTATTTCAAATTTCGAGAGAGGAGAGGTTTTACGAGATTTAGAATGTCGAGTATTATAGAGAAAGCGTCTGCAAAACGTGACAATATTTATAATTTTAGAGAAAGAAGAGAACTTTTCAAAGAGAGTATCAAACAATGAGGGCTGTGAAGTACATGTCAATATAACTTTTCGTTGTTCTTCTTCAATTTCAGGGAAAGTAAATTGATTGCGGCCAATAAGATTCCGGTTGGCTTAGCCATGGAGGTCCCGCCCACCATAAGGCATTGTCGAGTAACTCGCTAGGTTGAAGACCACGAGAACCTGGATCAGTGGGGTTGTCTTTGGAGACTACATGACGCCAACAAGAAGGAGGTAATTTCTCTTGAATTTGGGAAACTCGATTGCTTACAAAGGTGTTCCACTTATATGGTTCACTTTTAAGCCAATGCAAAACAACCATCGAGTCGGACCATGCAATCGTACTAACATTAATAAGTTTATTAGAAGGAGAAGTTCTAACGAAATCAATTAACCTGGTCAGAAGTAAGGCTGCACAGAGTTCCAGTCTTGGAATTGAGATTTTTTTGAGTGGAGCTACTTTGCCTTTAGCGCAGACAAAATTTGTTTTTACAGAGTTATCTGGAAGAATTATCCTAAAATAAATTACTGCACAATAGCCTTTTTCACTAGCATCACAAAAACCATGTACTTCCAGAGATAAATATTTGAGAGTGAGAAAATATCGAGAAACTTTGAGAGAGAAAATACAAGGTAATTCTTGAACGAGTTGATGCCAAGATGTAGCAATGTTATTGGGAGCAGGATCATCCCAATTTATACCTAACTTCCACAAATCTTGTATAATCAGTTTTAGCTAAAGAGTGAGAGGAACTAACATGCCACAAGGATCGAATATGCTTGCGAGTTGTGAAAGAATATTGCGTTTGTTACAGATTTTGTTTGTCAAGGACAACGCTGGTGAATCAAAGAAAAATTCATCTGTAGAGGGATTCCAGTTTAGTCCTAGAACTTTAGAGGAAGAAAGAGAATTTATATTTAAAGAGAGAGAAGAATCCATTTTGCATTCATTTGGAGATAACTGAGAAAGAAAATCTGAGCTATTCTAAGTCCATTTTCTAAGTTCAAAACCGCTGTGTTTGAGTATAAAAATGAGATCGCGTTGAATTTTTATAGCAAGAGAAAGAGAATCGCAACCAGATATAATATCATCGACATACGTCTCCATATCTAAAATCTTTGATGCTTCGGGATATTTTACTAAATTTTCTAAAGCAATTTGTTTTATAACTCGAATGGCTAAAAATGGGCTACAGCTTAAACCAAAAGTAACACGAGTAAGTTTGTATTCTTGAATGGGCTCATTAGGGTAAAATCGCCATAAAAATTTTAGGTATTAAGTATGATTTTCATTAACAAGAATTTGACTAAACATTTGTTTAATATCGCTAGCAAATACAATAAAAAGCGATCTAAATCGAAGCAAAATAGATAAAATATCTGACTGTAATTTTGGCCCAGTTAAGAGAGTGTCATTCAAAGATTTATTTGTGTAATCTCGAGCGGAAGCATCAAAAACAACTCTAAGTTTGGTCGTGAGACTATCTGGTCGGATTACGCAATGATGAAGCAGATAATAAGAATAAGCGTTGGGAGAAGGATTTTGCACGGCAATCATATATTGAGAATCTAAATATTCACGCATGTAATTAGAATATTGAGAATAAAGTTGGGGGTTTCGAAGCAATCGTTTTTCGAGCGAGAAAAATCTACGAAGGGCGACATCTCTAGAACCTTCAAAGACGGTTCCAAAGTTTTAAATGGTAAAGATACTTTATAACGTCCAGAAAGAGTGCGTGAAAATGTTTTACAAAAGTGTTCTTCGGCAAGCTTTTCATCTGAAGAAAGCGTCGAGGATTGTGGAACGTCCTCTAACTCCCAGAATCTTTGAAGTGATTGATCCAAGGAAGCATAAGAGGTAAGAAAGTATGAGTTTACAGAGAGTGAAACACTAGATGTTTTAACTCTTCCTGTAATTATCCATCCAAATATAGTTTCTAAAGCGACGGGTTGATCTGGATCTGAGAGGAGTTTGTTTCCTGTTATCAAGAAACCATAAATATCTGCACCCAAAAGTATATCTACGGGTTTAGAGAGGTGAAAGTTGGGATCAGCTAAGGGCAATTGAGAAAACTTTGAGAACTGTTCAACGGGAAGAGAATTAATCGGTAAATTATCACTAATTTCGTTTAATATAATAAACTCCAAGGAGTAGATCGGATCAGACTTTCCAATAGGTTTAATGTTGCATCTAACACCGTGAGAACCTTTGGAAATATTTTTCCCGATGCCACACAATTGGATGGGGAGGAAAAATTTAGATAAACCTAATTTATTAAAACAAGATTTTGAAATAAAGTGACTTTCACTTCCACTGTCAATTACAGCGCGTATTACATGAAAATTACCCCACGCATCTTGAACATTGATTAATGCTGTAGAAAGAAGAGCTTTATTCTTATGTTTTGCAAATAAATTTGTAGATACAACTTCTGAGATAGAGCTGCTTGCTTGCAGAACTGGAAGAGTTTGCGATGAAGTGGATGGAGGAACGTTTACAGGAGTTGTTATTTGACCTTCGAAATGTAAAAGCGAATGATGTTTTTTGCCACAAGTTCGGCATGAGGAACGAGAATTACAACTCTTAGAAGAATGTCTAGTGCCGAGACAGTTTGAGCACCAACTTCGGGATTTAATTAAATCATATCTCTGTTTTGGAGTAAAAGCAATAAAATCTGGACAGTTATAAATAAAATGATCCTTGTTACAAACTTGACAAGTTAAATTTTGTTTCAACTGAGTGTTGACAACAAAGGAAGAGGTAGGTTTATTTTTATAACTTTTTTGTGAATACTTCGTTTTAGTTTTGTCATAATTACTATTTTTATTAAAATGAGAAAACGATTTAGTTAGAGAGATTGTATCTTTAGCTGAACATTGTTTTTCTAAAAATTCAATGAGTGTATCGTATGATTTGAGGTATAGCATATCTTGTGATAAAACAGAGCCACATTCCAGTTCAAAATTAGTTTGCAAAATTTCTGGAAGTCTATCATAAATCATATTAAATAGCACAAAACTCCAGCTCTCTGTGGGAAAACCCAAGTTATTTAAAATTGTAATATTACGAGTATAAATATCAATCATATTTCTTAGAGCTTCATGATTATTTTCGTTAGAGATGGGCTTAATATTTTCTAGAGCCTGCCAGTGAGCTTTTGCAATCAAACGTTTCTTATCGTACTTATTTTTTAAGGCTTGATATGCTATATTATAATTTTGATTGGCAAGTGGAGTACTAGATACCAAAGCTAAAGGAGGACCTCGTAAGAAACTCACTAGATAGTTGTATTTCGATATATCACTAAGAGATGAGTTACAGTGTATAAGAGAATCAAACATATCGATAAATGTTTGCCAGTATTTAAATTCACCATCAAAATGGGGTACCTCAATTTTAGGAAGTTTTACCGAACATTGAGCAGTAGTGTCTTGTAATTGTGTAGTATCCAGCTCCGATTTCGTTTGCGGAAATAAATTTGTGAATAATGCTTCAATGTGAAAATAATAATCATTAAATTCAGTTTGAATTTTGACATGAGGATCAATATCGCCATTATCCTGTGCGGAAACTAATAAAATTATATTATTATGAATCTTATCAAAAGTTTTATAAATATCTTCTAAGTGTTTTGCTCTACATCTAAAGTTAGGGTGAAAATTTGGATCTTCAAGAGCTTGATCAGCGGATTTTTTAAGTTCTTTAATTTTAGTAAGTTCTACAGAGCGTTGAGCGTTTTAGAGTAACAGAGCGTTAAGAGTTTTTAATTTGCGAGCGTCTGCAGACATAGCGAAAATGAGTATAATAATTAATTAGAGCGTAAGAGAAAAATGGAATGCTATAATGTGAGAAAATAAAATATTATAGAATATAATAATTAACTGAGAGAGAGAGAGAGAGAGAGAATGATATATTCTACAATAGAATATTATATGAGAAAATAATTATTATATTTTTACCTTATAAGGTGAGAAAATAAAATATTATAGAATATAATAATTAACTGAGAGAGAGAGAGAGAGAGTAATTAACTAAGAGAGTAAGAGAGAAATAGAATAATTCACTGAGAGAGTGTATGTGTGTGTGTGTGAGAGAGAGAGAGAAAATAATTATTATTTTTACTAAGGTATTCGTATTAATTGAGTGTATTTATTAATTAAAAATTAAATTATTAAGAGAGAGAACAGACTAGAGTTGAGACTAAATGCGTATCGATAAATTGGAGCGTAAAAAAGAAATATCCGGACCAGTATCGCGAAACAGCGCTAGATATCGCT